GGATTCGACATGGGAAATTAGTAAACTCCAGCTTACTGATTCCTTGACGACTCTTTAAGTTATGTCATGCGCTGATAATCGGTTGTAAACATGTAACAACCCGGCTCATGCGTGTGGGGGAGGGGGCTGGACCATTTGGCTCGGGCGCCTGGCCTAAGGCTGCCACAAATATATTTTTACTTAATTTTAAAAATTATAAATAACAAGCAAGAATGTGTGGACTGCGTTTAATTGAGTTGTTAACGTATGTATTATGCTTGGCCTTTCCTCCATATTCGTTTGCACTGCTGACAGGAAATCTAATTTCTAGAACTATTTTTTAAATATATTCATATATTTCCATGGCTTTTGGAGTGGGGTATGGACCCCACATTTGTGACTGCTCTGTGCTTCATATCACATCCCTCAGGCCCTGGCAACAACCCTTTGCTGTGATGATCCAAACTTTTTCTGATGCAAACACTGACACCACAAATATTCATGTTCTTTAAGAGACATAAACTTAGCTAACTCTCACTATGCGTAAATTTTACTAAGAACTTGATACTTATTATATGCTTATAAAGAACACAAAGGTTAATCGCCGGGTTCACCAAAGCCCGCCAATGAACCTTATATTCAACAACTTCACACTTCACAAATATTTTCTTGAAAATTCTGTTCATCATCATCATCAACAATCTAAAGCCGGGTCTCGCATACTGTCTCGGATCTTAATGTTCTAATACCGAAGTCGTCAAGAGGGGCTCTGGGGCCCACCCAACCTCTTATCCAATGGGTACCGGAGGCTCTTTCCCCGGGTGTAAAGCAGCCGGGGCGTGAAGCTGACAACTCACATCTAGCTAGTGCCGAGGTCAAGAAAATATGGATCTATACTCGTATATTCGCTCCCCCACACGCCTTCATGATGTAGTGCTTAATTAGTTAAGCACATGGACAACTTTACTTCTTACCTTAATTAGAAACAGGGTATGGTGGTGTCGCTGCCTGTAATGATTTATAATAATATTCAACACGTAATTAACATGACTTCAATTGTAGTCATGTACACCGTAATAAATCTATTATAGCATTCATTCATTCATTCATTCATTCATTCATTCATTCAATTGCTCTACAGCCCTTTGTTGGCCCTGGCCTCTTCTTCAGTTTCGTGATCTTTTTTACATAGACAATACGACTCCTTAGACGGGGGATCAGCCCGTCAAAAGGCCGCTACCTTCACACACAACAGCATAGAGAATAAACACACACAGACACCCATGCTTTGAGTGAGGTTCGAACCTACGATCCCAGTGTTCGAGTGAGCGTTCACAGTGATCGGCACCATTATAGCGTAAGGCTGCAAATTTTCGTTGAATTCTTTAGAATTCTGATGAATCTCCCGGTGTAATTGAATTCCTGACGAAGGAGGACGATGATATTTTATTATTAATTTGTATCAGGTACGTATACAGTTGTGCGCAACAAGAAAAATCGACTCCACTACGATTCGGCCTTACGGATCAGTGCAGCGAGCCAGCTCATTTGCTAAACTCCATTTAGCAACTTCCTGGATTATGAACTTACATTACAAAAAGAAGATATTAACAAGAGATAATCTGCACCACTGGCATTCTGCAACGGCTTCATATACTTCATGAGCTCGCACCGGAACTCCTTGCTTTTGCTTAATGGCAACACGTGTCGTGGTTTCAACAAGAGCTCTTCCAAAAGAATGCCCTTGAAATATAATTATGGGAATATATTTAATCAACTCATATTACACTGACTTTCACACTTGTTACACGGAATTAGTTGTTCATAATTTCTAACCTTGCATTGGCTCTCAGTGCATTGTAACGGAATACATAAAACACTGAGGCTACGGTGCACAACCGTGGGCGATTCTCTATCCTGATTCCCCTTAAAGGCCTACTTCACCTCAAACTGATTACAAGCCTTGCAGTCACTTTCGGCGAGAATAATCTCGCTGATCTGCAATAACACGGCACCGTGCAAATCCAAAACCTTTTATTGACTGTAGGACATGAAACAAATAATCACAGTGGCTGTGCGGTCTAAGGCATGAACTTTCTTCGCTCGCTCGAGCGCTGGGATCGTGGGTTCCAATCTCACTCGAGGCATGGATATATATGCGGGTTTATTCTGTTTGTGTTGTTGTGTGTGTAGGCAGCGGCCTTGCGACGGGCTGATCCCCCGTCCAAGGGGTCCTTGCGATGGGCTGATGCCCCGTCCAAGGGGTCCTACTGACTGTGTATAAGTTTAAGAAACAGAAAAGACGGACAAGGTCCATCAAAAGGACGGGCAGACAGAGAGGACAAGGAACGCTAATAAACTCAAGTTCCTAGACGCAACGGCCTGTCCAGCTTAAAATTGGTTGGAAACTTTAAACGAAATCACGTGAATATTCATACTGTAAGAAAAGATTAATTTAACAAAATGACTAACCCATTTTAAAGTCTACGAACCTGGAAAAATAATAAACGAAATGCATAATTAACATTAAAAAGTGAGCGAGAATAACACGTGAGAATTACCAAAGAAAATATTTTGAGATAAAACTTTACAGAAGAACTACCAATGTACAGAATAAGGCCTTGTGTGCAAATTACACCTCATTTTCTTCGAATCCACTCTTCTTGGTAGTTGTAAATTACCCGTTTTCAGAGTGGAAAAAAAAAACAAGAACGGGGAAATATAAGAGAGGAGAGGAAGGGACTGTACTATAAGTACTCAAATTACATCTTAAATACAGTGGCTTGTCATTTAGTTTTTTCTGTATTCTGTATGTTTCATATCACACGGAAAATCTGAATAATCTGCCATTCTTCATGTGATATTACTTCACAGTACTCATTACGCGCTTGAGGGTGGCAGAAATATAAAATATTCCACAACAAACCGTAAACAATCAACGCTAACCAACCGTTTCTTGAGAAGACATCGCTCGCTCAGCTGCTCAAGAATCTCCTAACATTTTATGGAATCTGCAGGTTCATTACCGTGTTCACAAAAGCCCTCCACTGGTCCCTATCATGAGTCAGGCCAATCCAGACCATACTACCCCACGCTATTTACCTAAGATTCACTTTAATACTATCCTCCCACCTACATCTAGGACTTCATAGCGATCTATATCCTTCTAGTTTTCCCACAAAAATCCTGTATGCATTCGTCTTCTCTCCAAAGCGTGCTACATGACCTGCCCATTTAGTCCTCCTTGACTTCATACCTACCTACCTACCACTCGACGCTACAGCCTTGAGTGAGCCTTCGCCCCCTCTACAACCAGTCTCCACTGCTCTCTATTCATCTTCTCTATCCAACCTTCCGCCTTCAGCTTCAGGTCGCTCTCAAAATCGTCTCCTTGACTTCATCACTGTAATTATATTTGGCGAAGCGTACAAAGTTTGAAGCTCCTCATCAAGCAATTCCCCCAGCCCCCAATTCTCGCATCTATTCTCCTCAGTATCCTGTTTTCGAACACTCAATTTATGTTTTTCCTTTAACGTATGAAACCAGGCGGCGCCATAGCTCAAGCGGTTAGTCGCTGGCTTCCCACCGCGGCGGCCCAGGTTCCATCCCGGGTCTGGTCAAATGGGATTTATGGTGGACAAAGTGGCGCTGGGGCAGGTTTTCTCCGATTGCTTCGGTTTCCCCTGCCAATTTCCATTCCACCGACTGCTCCACATTAATCATCATCTAACAGCCGGGGTTGGTACAATAGGCCAGTTAGTGGCCGACGTACCAAATGGACTGTCTCACCCCACCCCAAGAAACTAAAAGAAAAAATCTACCCTGGGCTTCTGGAACATGTCTCCGGAGTCTGCAGTACTCGTAAACATATCTTCAAGGCCTCGATCGATTTCAGTACTTTGTACCTAACGAGATTTTCTAGAAGACTGAACGAGTTGTGGGGGCGTCTAAGTAAGTATTATTTGGAGAAGTTTGCGCTAAATAATTTCCATACTGAAAACTTCGTTAAATAACTTAAACTGTCAGCGGCCTCCGTAGTCTAGGGGTAACGTTCCCACCTCGTGACTCAAGGTACGCGGGTTCAAACCCGGCGGAGGAGGTCGTGGAATTTTTAAGGGCGGAAAATTTCAGGGAACAAGTGCTTTACGGCACGTAAAAGAACCTCATGTCTCAAGGAGACCTCTGAGCCAAACTGAAGGACATTTCCCGCCCAACAATAGTCTCTAACGCCTCTGGTAGATGGAAGAAGCATCTAGATACCGCTGAGCCAGTAGAGGCCGAACTCGCTGACTGAGTCGGGATTGATGGCACGCACCAGTACCGGTAGGGTATAGAGACTGGTAGAATATCACAGAGGGGCGTACAATAGATCAAACTGGTCGCGGTGCATGGGGAAACCCACCCCCTCCGATGATGATGATGATGATGATAATGATAATAACTTAAACTGACAATGTATGTAGGATTCGAGGTGCTCACAGCGGTGGTTATGAACAGTTCTGTCTTCTGGGATATAGCGCCCTGCAGTCCGCTTAAACTCAATCAACGTTTCGGAAGAGGGTAGAGGTGACATGTTCCTCCGACGTGTTAGCTGTATTTAAACAGACTACACTGCTGTATATTCCAGCAGACAGAACTCGTCAAGTTTGATAAGAACGCATACGTAAGACCTCTATGAACTATCTGATTGCCTTCATAGGCCACGTACAATATTCCTCTCCTTACGCCGAATAAAAAAAAATTCGCACACTTTCCGGTAGGTCTATTTAACACACATAATAACTACTCTAATGGCGCAATTTATGGTCCCGAAAAATAACACTGTTTTGGTTGGCTGACGGGTTAAGTTGACTCAACTGTAACAGGTGATCCGTAACTGTCAACACGATATACAAGTCAAACCAAAACATATGAAACAAATCGAACACAGATTTTCGTGATGGAATGTCCTCCTTTCATCCGCAACATAAATGGCTGAAACTAGAGATGCAGGTCTGACAATAACCGTTACAGATACATACCCTGGGATTTCCAATGATCGAATCTGGTGGTAAACCAGCAAGCTTTGCCATACTGTTCGCCATTTTATGACGAAGACTCTCATACACAACAGCGACTTGGTGTTCGCCATGTTGGTTATGCGACTGTTGTGCCATCTGTGGAGTATGTGGCGAAGATCTTGACGACTGACCAGACATCTGCTGGTGGTGAGGCGGGAGGGGGCTGCTGCTGGATTTACGATGCGGGGGCGACAATGGAGTTCGCGGAGGGGTAGGTGGTTGAGAGGGTGGACTTGGGGGTGGTCGAACGGTAAGACTAAGAGGGTTGAGATGATGTGAAGAGGGATGGTGTTTCGGAGATAACGTCTCCAGAATTTTACCTGAAAGAAAGAAAGAATTTGATTGAAACAGATATCAACGGCCTCATACATTAACACTCCTTTTCTTTTTCAGAATGACGTGCTTCGGTTCCTAATGAATGTAAAAAAAAATCCACCAATACTGATATCTTTGCTATCGCCAATAATAATAATAATGTTCTCTTAGTATAATCGGGGCTGCCAGATTTTTAATATAAAATTATTAGACATCTCATTCTTGGACAGGGGAAACATAAAATATAACCATTGTTTGGAGAAATAACAACAGACCAGCATTTGAACAATAATATTTTCTTATTTCTTTCTATACACCTTCTCTACTTAGAAGTTCTGTCGTAACTGACAAGCCGAAATAACTCCCATAAACAGAGAGTTGAAGTGGCAAACCCAAGATGATTTATTGCCACCCAAATACATGTCATACATGCGCCAGACCGACGTCGAACATCAAGGAAATAAAGAACAATTTCGTATATAAGAAAGTTTAGTAAACTGGATGTGTACAAATTCGGCGAAAGGAACCAGTCTGTGGGAAATGTGGGATTTCATGTATTCATACACGTTGGGAGTATGTTCAGCACAGCTCTTCGTAAAAGTGTCTGACCGAAAAACGTAAGAGTTCTTGACAAAAGTATCACTTGGGAGTTAATGGTCAAGTATATACTGGAAGACGCTGACGTGTCTTTTCCTGGAAAAAAAAATGCAAATATACAAATACAACAGCTATCTCTCGACAATAGCAACATCGGTTAAACCTGCCCGTGTACAATAGGAAACCAGATGGCGCATGATTTCCTCCCATTGAAGAACAGAGAGCAGTCGGACAGCGAAGTATTCTCCACACAGGCTTATTCGATTAAAAATTCGGAGTTCAGGTGGAGTATTTGGGGCCATTTTAAAATATTTAACAAACCACACAGAGAAGAGCACTTCTTGAAAAGTTAACAGTCGCTCAGCTGGATAAGATTTCCAGCTTTTGTGGGACCAAAACGTTCATTATCGTAATTACAAGAGCGGCTCCTTCCGCGATTCAGCTGAATCCAGACCACAGCCTCACAATCTAGTCCCTTAAGGTCAATTTTAATATTATCCTCCCGTCAACGCCCAGGTCTCCCAAGTGCAAATACTTGTATCCTCAACACCCATTCTTCGTCCGGGCCAACTGTGTAGCGAAACTGTGAATGTGTCTCCGTTACCTTTTAAACCTTCGCATCCTCCACAAGAGATATCCTCGCTTGACAGCACTGGCACCTTTGGCCTGGACGAATCTGCTGAGGGACTGAGTTCGGATGTTTGCCGGAGCACTAGTTATCCTGAGAGAAGTCTGTTTAGGACTTCACCAGTTTCCCCTTGCAAATTACTAATGGTACAGCTCTAGACATGCGTTCAGCAATTACCGGAGCCGAATCTCGGGCGGGTTATCGGCTACTGTCAAGTTTTTTCGTGGTTTTCCGAAGTTTCGTCCAAGAAATGCAAGATATTACCATCAAATAATCCTCTTCCCAAATTTCTTCGTAGCGATGTTCATAATACACGATCATCCTCCCATCTGATTCGAAGCTATAGGTGTGTAATTTCTACACTCGATAAAGCATCGTTCAATAGTCTACGAACCAATCACTCACGTCTGGTTAGCAGTTCTTCCCTTCTTCGTGTTCTCTCCATTCCTTCACGTGTTTTAAATGTAACGAATACGTATGCATCTGTTTCATAGCGCCCAGAGCTCTCAACTAACTTCATAAAAACGTCAAGTTTACAGAGAACCCGGTGGTAACTGCCACCTCGTATTAAGGATTCATTTTAACTGTACCATGACCTTACTATGCTACAATATTTAGATTCCAGTACCTACTTCCTTCTGATCAAAAGTCTGTTAGTTTCCCATAGCCCGTTTCCAAATATTATTGGGGTCCGGGTTTTTTTAATTCATTGACGTCAATCGTTTCCCTAAAGCCTGTTCCCAAATACTGGTTTTCATGTTTCTTATTCATGATTACGTCAATAGCTTACCGCTACGTCGAGGCAGGCTGAACCAGCTTTAAGATGGCAATTACGTATGAATTGAGTATAAGGAAGGCAGGTACCGACCGTGGCCTACTTTAATCCTATACAGGAATTGCGGTTCCTATAATTGATTACTCAGAAAAAGACCGTTAACACACTCAACCAATTACAGGGCCTACGTATTTCATAAAAAAAGTTCAGCAATTCCACTTCACGTTTCAATCGCACTGGATTATGGGACACACGCAATGAAAACGTACAATAATTACGATGTAGGCCTCCTACCAATACTGTGCATCAGTGAATAAGAGACTTCATAAGAATGGATTCAAGAAACAGAAGCTGTAGAAAATTTAACTGTTAGAAATGTTAACATTTTTAATCTATTCAATTTAATGAGGTAAATATGGAAATGTCCGTCACGGCAGACGAGCGGACTAAAGCATGCACTGTCTTCGCTCGCTCAGAAGCCGGGATCGTGGGTTCTAATCCCGGTCAGGGCATATGTGTGTGCGTGTGCGTGCGCTCGTTCTTTTGTGTTTGCGACGAGCTGATCACCGGCCCAAGGAGTCCTGCCGAACATCTAAGACCTAGTAAACCGAAGTGAAATGGAGTTTCATGGAGGTGGGCCAAGTCCCAAATTGGGGCCGTAGCGCCAAAGGGGAAAAAATATGGAAATACAAAAAGCTGAGGACAAGACATTCTATTAAAATAGAAAAGAATTTACTGTAGAAACGAGTTATGGGGGTATGGGCTGGGTTCACACCGCTCACAATAGGGTTCAGTGGCGGCTCTTGTGAACAAGATAACACATCTCCAGGTTTCACAAAATGAGAGAAATTTCTCAAGCGACTAAACGACCCCCGCTTCTTCTCAAAATATTTTACTGGGGAATCTACAGGGGTTCCCACCAAAAAAGTTTTATAATATCAACTGACAGAAAGATGTGATACAGGAAGGTCACAAAGATGACTTAATTTTTGAGGACGGGACGGGCTAACAAGCTCAGCCGTTGCAGATGCTGATGCTATTTACAAAGGCTTCACAGGAAAACGAAGTCGATTTGTTCAATATACTTTAAAAATCAAAGACATCACATTTACTGATCTTAAGGTGGGTTCTCGTCCAAAATCGAAGTCAGCAACTTGTCGGGATGCAGTTTACGAGACAAATATAAACCGCTACGAAGTCAACTTTTCTTCCTATAAACTCTACTGTATTATGTAAGATTTGAGGCTTTCACGGCGGTGACTATGAAGAAAGCAGTCTTCTGGGATTTGGCACCGTGTATATGTGGTGTTAACCGACGTTTCGGAGGAACGTATCGCCTCCATCTTCAGGGTAGAAGAAAAAGTATAAGAAATCTGCAAGCGACAAGACCGTGAGAACGGTAAAAGCAGACTGGAAATAACACAGCTGTGTGTGAGCAGAGAGGGAAGGGGGGAAGGGCANTCTTCTACTGTATTAGTTCTAAGATCAACATCACATATGGAACAGCGTTAAGGAAATCCAAAGCTATAGGTAGCTATATGTGGAGGGGACACACGCAACCTGTTCTGTGTGGAACTTCACCGAGCAACACTTGATCTGCTAGCAAGAGTGGCACACGTACTTCATTTACAGCTATAAATAGTAGGACAGTAGTTGCAGGAGAACTGAAAATAAAGCCATGACATGAACATCCATAAAACGACTTTCCAAAAAGACGAATGGCAAATAATATCCAAAAAATCTACATAATATATATATACGTAAACTCTTCAGCAGGCTGACCGACGAACCGATTTAATAATATAATTTCTTATAAATGAGTTTAGATTAAATATAAATTATAAAAACTTGAATTCATATCTTTTCGCCTTCAGTGCCATACAAGGCGCAGAAACCGTGCGCGGAAAGCGGTGATGACTCCAATAGCCCACCTAGCCCACCCATACACTGCAAAAAAAAAAGTTTCCCTCTATGAACCAGCCACGATGATGGAATTCCTTATACACGTATCCAGAAGGCATGCAAAATAAACACATTTAAAGGAAATGAACAAAGAATCAATAAAGCTCCACGAGCAGGCATATTTCTTATTTTCAGGTACATTTAACGTCTTCCACATCGAATTTAAACTGCGTAGCATCCAAAATTTCCTGCAAAAAGAATGTGTCAGTATTTTTGCATTAATCCAGTTTCATCTAGCTGTTTATTAAACTAAGGTTAAAGTAACATCTTTGCCGCATTGTTTCTTCTTCTTTTGACGGACGATGAATCCTACACACAATTTGCAGGACACCTTGGAAGGGGGATCAGCCTGTCACAACAAGGCCGCTACCTACACAGGGCAACATAAACCTACAAAATATGCATACATAATTCATGCCTCGAGTTGGATTCGAACCTACGATTCTATGTTCAAGCGGAAGAAGAAACTTCCCCACTTAGACTACACGGCCACTCGGGTGGACTAAGGATATCTTAATTATTTTGCGCAGAATATGTTCAGAAGTAAACATACTGGATACAGAAGTATTTTTAAAAATAGCGTTCCTATTTACTCTCTTCATGCCTCTGTACATATGACGTTATCATGCGGGTGACAATTCTTTAGCCAAAGTGGTCACTTCAGAAACCCTAGTAACTACACCAACATGTCATATACAGTACATGCATGGATTTGTTTCACGTAGTGCCATACATTTCAGCTCTACTGAAGCTGTATTGCAAGTTTCACTCTCCGGCGGCTTTAACTTGGACCTCAAAAGCTCATTAAATAAGCCTAGTGAACCCTAGAGACGGTCTAGGTAGGAAAAATATACAGGTACGGGGTAATGCGCGATATCCAGTATTTGATCTATTAATATTTATTTAAATTACAATAATAGAGACTAACATACAAAAAAAGAAAGATTTATCTTCTATAAATCAAGTATTCAATATGGCAGTTTCTTCAACACGAACTGTGATGCACTGATTAATCGACGGCACATATCCTCACATTTATCTCG